CCCCCCGCGGTGGCCTGCCAAGTCTCTCCATCTCTGCAGGCTCTGGACAGGTTTCTCCAGATGGAGAAACAGAGTTTGGCCCCAGTTCTTCCCGTGCCTTCAGCCGTCCAGCTGAGCCAAGCACGCCAGGAGATGGCTTTTCGGTGAGTCTTTGGGAAGAGAGTTTTGCCAACAGCCCGGCTCCCTGGGGAGAAGCGGGGCCTCCTGCTGCCCATCCTCTGCACGAGCAACTGGGCGAGCGTTGGGGCGAGGGCTCGGTGGCTGCGGGGCCAGGACCGGGGCCAGGACAGTCTGTGTTAAGCCCTTCACCGCTGCGCACGCCGTGGCCCCACCGGGTGCAATCCCTGCTCCGTGAGCCACGGGGTGTCTGTGCCAGCTCAGCCAGCCCTTCCGCAGGAGGGGCTCCCACGGGGCGCTGGAGGCTGAGCAGCACGGGGGTAAGGGGCTGGTTGTGTCCCTGGCAGGATGCAGGAGCTCCTGGAGCAGATGAGGTCAGTAACTTGTAATCTCGAGCTCAACAACAGCATCATTGAGCGGTGAGTAAGAGCACCCAGAGACAGTGATTCCTGTCCCTAACGCTGGGATGTGGCCACGCTGCCCTGGGAAGGGGCGCGTCTGGGTGGGCTCCCTGAGGGGCTGTGAACGGGCTCTGGCGTGGGGAGCCATGCCTGGTGCCAAGCACAACCACAGCTACTCACGGTGGGGTTCACAGCGGGGTTTTAATGGCACCAAGTTTACATCATGATCTGGCAGCAGAAGAGAGTTTGTCTTTCCTGGAAGTTTAAGCATGATCTTCTGCAAATGCTATGTCATGTCTACACCCTCTTTCCAGCCTTTTTCCTGTGCTGCTCAGCAGTGTCAGTGCTGACTGCCAGGGAGAAGTGAATGCTTTCCATTTCTGGATGAAACTGTGCAAAACCCAGCATCCCACTGCTGACAAACCCCCCTGGGTTTCTTCCTCTGCAACCTTTTTTTGAGGATATTAATGCACATCAACAATATGAATATGCATTTGATGCTTTCCATTTCTGCATGCAACTGTGCAAAACCCAGCATCCCACTGCTGGCAAACCCCCCTGGATTTCTTCCTCTGCAACCTTTTTTTGAGGCTCTTAATGCACATCAACAATATGAATATGCATTTCAAAATCTCAAAAAGTTTCAGATCAGATTTTAAAAGAAAAAAAGAAATTGGTGATTCACCCCAATCCAGTTTTTACAGGGCCAGCTGCGTGGTTGCAGCACGTCCACTGTGAATAAGGGGATAAGGAAAGCTCTGCTGTGCTTTCGACATGGAGAGCTTATCCCAAGAGACACCACAACAAGCCCAGAGATTGGTGCCCAGCCCAAATCATAGTTTGGGACTGCATGAGCCCGGGTGACCCCTCTCTAGCCTAAAGCCTTTGGTTCTGTTCCTGCAGGTTGAGTGGGGCTGCCCCCACTCCCGGTATTTGAGAGACGTGGTGAATTTGCAGCTGCTGAAGCAAATGCCACAGCAGGGAACACTTACAGCACTTCGGGTCCAGAGTGACGGAGATGTTTGATGGTCGTCTTTGAGGAGCATTCTGTGTCCTGCCTCTCCACTCTGGCACTTTTGCACCATTCACCAGCATTAGCTTTGAGTGGTTTGCAAGCCTCGAGCCTTTGAAAGTTTGACCAGAAAACTGTTGGGTTTTTTTTCCTTTTGAAAAGTGCTTGAAGGACTTCTTGCTTTTCTAGCTTCTCTGTATCACCATGTCAGCTGATGAAGAGCAAGAAGCTAGACAGATAAATTATATTTTGACTTGTTTAGGGTTTACTCCTACTTTTAAAGTACCTCTGTTCCCTGAGGCTTCATGAAGCAGGACAGGAGCCCAGGGCAGGAGCGGTGCTGTACCTGGTGGACAGGAGACTGGATGTGGCCCAGGACAGCCCCGGTGCTCTGCCCAGGAGGTGACAGCACGGGGAAGGCTGGAGCCACAGGCATCTGCCCGTGGACACTGCGGCCTCTCCTCCTGCTTATCCTGCTTCAGGGCTTTGCTTCCAGCCCAGCCCCGTGCTGGGGCTGCTGACGGGTACAGGAATGGGAAGCTGAGGGAGGCTTCTCTTTTTTGGTACCTTTTTATTTCTCTTTTTTAGTACATTTCTATAAATGTAACCGAGTTCTGTGTTTATACATGTGAGGGGTGTGCCTTCTCCAAACAACCTTGTAGTGAACCTAAAACTCCAGCCACCGAACCCGGAGGTGCTACTCAGTGCCAAGGCAAAATCTCAGATGGAAAGACTTCCATGAGCCCTCTCTGAAAAAGACAGCAGGGATATTTCTTTTTCTTTTAGATGAAAGAGGAAAAGAAATCCTAAGCGGTCACTTCTGCCATTAATGTGCAGAGTGAGAGGATGGATTCATCCGTGGAGGTGATGGCAGCTGGGGTGGCACAGCTGGACAGGAGGGACC